CTCCTAGCATTTTACACACAGATTACTGCACATTCTCTCAGGTTCTGGACTTTTCCAGGCCAATTTATTCCATGCAATATCCTAGATATTAATATTTCAGATCAAAGTTTGTAAAAGCAATTTAATGGAATGTGGTCAGAGTTTTTTAAGATGAAAAAGAACAGAAAATAAAAACCATACTCACATAATAAAAGTAAGTACTGTTTTGTAGATAATATAATCCTGCACACAAGTGTGTACTGACTTGTAGCGTAAAATATATTTCTTGTCCACCTTCCTCAGCGTAGGTCTCTTCATTGAGACCACCACAACAAAAAAATTTCTTGCTACAGGTCATGGTTAAAAAGTTTGAAAATCACATCACTGGATTAATTTTCTTATGTATAGTTTTCAACATGCTTTTCCCCAATTTTGATTCTTATTTAAGGATAATAATGTCTAACATCCATTAAGTACTTACTATGTGCCCAGGATTGTGTTAAAGACTACTATACGATCTCTTTCAATTTTCAGCTTAAATATATGATGTAGGTACAACAGAAATTATTCCCATTAATAGACAAGCAAACTAAACATGTTGTTATGTGTCGTCAAGTCACTTAAGACTCACAGTGACTCTATGTACAACAGCTCTGAACCCTATTCTATCTTGACTCAACTTCATCGTCTTTGACACACCCAGCCCCATTACTCCACACTCACTGAGTCAATCCATCTCATCAAGGGTCTTCCTATTTCTCTACCCTCCCAATCAAGATGCCCCTCTCCAAGGACTTGTCACTCCTTGCAATACGCCCAAGGTATCTGGGATGGAGCTTCAGAATCCTTGCCTCCAAGGAGCAATCTGGTTTCACCTTCTCCAGGATGAATCTGTTTGTGGTCCTAACAGTCCATGGTACATTCAATACTGTTCTCCAGCACCACAGCTCAAAGGCATCAATTCTCCTTCTATCATCCCTAGTCATTGTCCAGCTTTCTGATCCAGAGCAAGTAATTACAAAGACCATGGCCTGGATCTGGTGCACCTTAGTGTCCAGACTGACATCATTGCTCTTCAGTACTTTGGCGAGATCCCTGACAGCAGATTTTCTCAATGCAGTACATTTTTTGATTTCCTGGCTGCTGGTATCAAGAGTACTGATTGTGGAGCCAAGCAAACTGAAGCTGTTAACAATCTCAGTCTATTCACCATCTATCATGATGCTGCCCAGTGGCCCAGTGGTGAGAATCTTTGTTTTCTTGATGATATGCTTCAGTCTATCTTGAAGGTTGCAGTCCTTGACCCTCTGCAGCACATGCCTCAATCTTCCTCCGTTTCTGCAAGGTTATGCCATCTGTATAACGTAGGCTGTTGATGAATCTTCCTCCAATTCTGATGCCACACTCCTCCTCATAAAGCCCAGCTTCCCAGATGATCTGTTCCGCATATAGACTGAAAAGGTATGGAGATAGGATGCATCCTTAGAGTATACCTTTCCGGATATTGAACCATGCAGTGTTCCCTTGCTCTGTTCTGGCAACTGTTATCTGGTCCACATATAGGTTTCACATAAGCACAATGAAGTGTTCTGGGATTCCCATTCTTCTCAGAGTCAGCCACAGTTTGTTGTGGTCCACACAATCAAACACCTTTGCATTGTCAATGAAACACAGATAAACTTTCTGCTTTCAGCCAAGATCCATCTAACATTAGCTTTAATATCCCTACTATCAGGAGCTCTGGTGGCCTAGTGGCAAGAAGCTGCGCTGCAATCCTGAAGGTACATGGTTCGAGGCCACCAGCTGCTCTGTGGGAGAAAGATGGGCAATCTCCTCCTGTGTGATTAACTGTCTCTGAAAACCCGCTGAAGGGTCAGCTATGGGATCATTTCTGACTCGATGGTACACAACAACAACAACAACAACATCCCTAGTACCATGGCCTCTTCTAAATCCAGCCTGCACATCTTGTAGTTCTCTGTTGATGTGCTGTTCCAGTCATTTTTAGATAATTTTCAAGAGGATCTTGCTTGCATGTGATATTAATGATATTGGACGCATAGAGTATTTCAGCTATTAATTGGAAGAACTATGATTAGTGTATGGCTCCAGAGAATATCTCAGGTAGGCTATTCTGCTTCCACTCTGTAAGTCAAATATCTCAGCTAGAAGGTAACTGCCTAACTTTATAGTGGCAGTGTTTCCCACTCTGTTTTAACTGGGCAAACTGCTTTTTTGTCTTCTGAACTTCTCATTACTTTCAGAGTCATGTTTAAGCTAAATTCAGCCTTCCACTTCTTTATTTTTTTTATTTTTGCACTTATTTCTTTTAATGTTCCTCATTCAATGCTCACTGAATAAAAGCTGTGTCTGATCTAAGCTATGGTATTTTTAATTGTTTCCTATGCAACTGAAAGTTGAAAAATTAATAAGGATGACAAAATAAAGGATGCCTTTGAATTGTGGTGCTAGAGAAGAGTACTGAATATCTCACGCACTGAGAAAAACCCAAACTTGTTTTGGAGAAAGTGTAATCAGGGTATTCCTTAGGGACAAGGATAGTGAATCTTTGACTCATTCTAATACTTTGGGCATGTTGTCAGGAAGGACTAGTCCTTGGAAAAAGACATAATGTTGGAAAAAAGAGGGTTAACAAAAGACGAAGACCTTCAATGAGATGGGCTGACAAAAGGACTATAACAATGGGCTCTCGTATGTTGGAAAGTGTGAGAGTGGGACAAGATAGAGCAAGGTTCAGTTCTGTTGTTGAGAAAGTTGCTGTGAGTCACAGTCGACTTTATGGCATCAAAAACTATTTTTGTAAATAAAGCTTCACCGGAACACAGCCACATCCATTCATTTAGTTACTGTTTATGGTTCTTTTCATACTCAAACAGTAGAGATGAGTAACAGCAATGGAGACCAGATGGTCCATGGGGTTTGAAATACTCCTGACTTTTTACAGAAAAAGTCTGCCAACCATTGTTCTACCTTTGAGCTCTGGGGATGCATCAGTAGGAAGGTGCACTATTAGCTCAAATCTGCACTTCTCTGGCAGTTTGAATTCACCAGTATCTCTGTAGGAGAAAGATGGGTAATCTCCTTCCATGCTATTTACAGCCTGCGAAAACCAACAGAAGGTCAGTTATGAGTCAGTTCTAAACTGACAGCAATAAGAGAGACAGCTCTGTCTCAAAAGTCACATGCATCCCTCCAAGCTTAGGTTTGTTGTTGTTGTTGTTATGTGCCGTCGAGTCGTTTGCGACTCATAGCGACCCTATGCACAACAGCCCTAAACCCTGCTCTATCCTGCGCCAACCGCACCGCCTCTGACACACCCATCCCGATTACCCCAGTCACTGAATCAATCCATCTCATAGAGGGTCTTTCCCTTCTGCGCTGTCCCTCCACCCTCCCAAGCATGATGTCCCTCTCCAAGGACCCGTCCCTCCTGGCAACATGTCCAAAGTATGTCAGACGAAGCCCCAGAATCCTTACCTCCAAGGAGTAGCTTGGTTTAATCCTCTCCAAGATGAATCTGTTTGTTTTCCTGGCAGTCCGTGGTACATTCAGTACTCTTCTCCAGCATCACAGCTCAAAAGCATCAACTCTCCTTCTATCCTCCCTAGTCATTGTCCAACTCTCTGATGCATAACAAGCGATTGCAAATACCATGGCCTGTATCAGGTGCACCTTAGTCTCCAGAGAGACACCGTTGCTCCTGAGTAGAGAGGTCCCTAACAGCAGACTTTCCCATCACGATACGCTTTTTGATTTCCTGACTGCTGGTGCCAAGAGTGTTGACTGTGGAGCCGAGCAAACTGAAGCTGTGAACAATCTCAGTCTCTTCACCATCCATCCTGACACTGCCAGTTGGTCCAGTGGTGAGAATCTTTGTCTTCTTGACATTGAGCCTCAGTCCATATTGAAGGCTGCAGTCCTTGACCCTTCGCAGCAAGTGCATGAGGTCCTCCTCAGTTTCAGCAAGCAGGGTTGTGTCATCTGCATAACGCAGATTGTTAATAGATCTTCCACCAATCCTGATGCCACAATTCTCCTCATAGAGCCCAGCCTCTCGGATAATCTGCTCTGCATACATGTTGAAAAGGTATGGAGACAGGATGCATCCCTGGCGCACACCCTTCCCAATTTTGAACCATGCAGTGTTACCCTGCTCTGTTCTGACTACTACCTCTTGGTCCAAGTATAGGTTTCGCATTAGCACAATTAAATGTTCTGGGATTCCCATTCTTCTCAGAGTCAGCCACAGTTTGTTATGATCCACACAGTCAAATACCTTTGCATAATCAATGAAACACAGATAGACATTCTTCTGGTATTCTCTGCTTTCAGCCAAGATCCATCTAACATCAGCAACAATATCCCTAGTACCGCGACCCCTTCTAAACCCAGCCTGGACTTCTGGCAGTTCTCTGCTGATGTGCTGTTCTAATCGTTTTTGGATAATCTTCAGTAGAATCTTGCTTGCATGTGAAATCAATGACACTGTTCTGTAATTTCCACACTCAGTTGGGTCACCTTTCTTTGGAATGGGAACAAATATAGATCTCTTCCAGTCAGTTGGCCAAGTGGTTGTTCTCCAGATTTCTTGGCACAACTTGGTGAGCACATCCAGGGCAACATCTGTTATCTGAAATACTTCAATTGGTATACCATCTATTCCTGGGGCCTTATTTTTGGCTATTTCCTTCAAAGCAGCTTGAACTTCTGGGAAATCCCCCTGGTCCCTATAGCTCATCACGAGTGCCTTGCTTTGGTCTATGAGGCTACATGTACCCTTGACGAGCAGGTATTACCTTACTTCTTTTATCCTTCTCCACTTTAACCATAGCCAACAGAACCTTGGCCAGAGAGCTTGACACTTATTTCTGGATAGAAACTCAGTGCAGTAAAAAGGCTATGTTTAATTTATCTAGCTGGCCTATCAATGATCTGGTTCTCAGGATAAAGGGGTGGAACTCTGATGTGCCAACTATACAAACAGAAAGGACAGGTCTTACCTTTTGCTCCACACATTTGATAAAGTCACCTTGCCTAGAGTGCCCGACTGGCTGCTTCTGAAATTCACTGCGCTTCTCCAGGCGAGATTCAAAAGCAGGAGGGTCAGACCTGATTGAAGGTAAACTAAGGTTAAACCATGTGTGCCTTTTCAGATTTTGAAATAATAAAGCATCACAGGCTTCTTCCACAGAACTATATAAAGAGATGAAAGGTTTCAATTACTCAGGTTGGAGAAAGGCCTCATGAGTGAGTAGCAAAATAAAGAAAAGTAAAAAAAATAAGTTAATTTATTCAGTTATGACCAATCCGCAAGGAGACTATGGAGTTACTTCCTCCCTTAAGATTATTCTCTAAACTGAGAGTGGTTGGTCTCTCAGAGGTACTCAGAATCCTTAGAATGGGAAAAGGTACTAGAGTCATAGAGAAAAGTTCCTTGGGTAGGAATCTTACTTTGTTGTTACTACATGCTGCAAAGTCAACTTATGACTCCTAGGGACCTTTTAGAGATCTGAATCTTGCTCTATCATGTGCCATCCTCAAAGTGGCCCTATTAGGCATCAAGCTTTTATTTGAACACATTCAATTCTCAGGTATCTTCTACTAGGAAAACATTCTAAACCAAAATTTATTTATCTAACTTTTACCCTCAGAAGCAAGAGAAAATGTCTCATTTCTTCTACATGGATATTGGATAATCACTATTATATGACTTCCTAAATTTTTCTTTTCCACGTTAAATTTTTTCAGCCCAATCTCACACATGATTTGTAAATCTTTCTTCACCATGAACTTTTTTCTGGAAACTTTCTACTTTATCCATATGCTAAATATAATTTGGTATATAGAGATAGTTCCAACTCTCCCAGCTCACTAAACTGTGATACCAAAACCCAGATACTGGGCTGGAATGGGGCAGGACAGTACTGTGTGTTCTTGCCATTGGTTTATAATGAGCTTGCAGTGAGTCCGTCAAGAGTCTGACTTTGATAAAGATGTCCAAATGGTGAGTATAACCAATGAAGGTTGCGATTCCCTTTTACACATCTCATGATACTTACACATTTGGTCCAGGACTGAAGGTCAGTCCTGTTCTGTACCTTTCCTTAATCTGACCCAGGTTCTGGTGATCCTTCTTTTCTTCCACCTCAACTTCATGTTATCCTTTAATCGAGACAGCAAATGAACCCACCCACCCCATTCTTTTTTCACTCAGCATCTCTTATGACTTATTCTTCTACTTTTCATTCACACAACAAACTTCTCTTGGTGTCTACTGCCTCTTGGTTACAGTCCTGGACTTTGGGAATACAGAATTAAATAAAACATAGTCCCTACATCAAAATGTACTGTGGCTGAGTCAATTCTGACTCAGGGCAACTCTCTATTGGGTTTCTGAGGCTATAAATCTTTGCAGAAACAGACTGTCTCATCTATCCCTAAGAGTCTGGTAAACAGAAGTGTAGCTTAACATTCTACTCACATGCCTGTTCCTAAGTCAAGGTGCTTACTATCTGCTGAGAGACAGACACATAAAATAAGTAGAGTGTTACATGTATGATGGTGAAAATTTGCTCAAATTTCTCCAAACTGCTGAGAGTGTCATACTTTAAAGTACATCCTCTTTTTATACTGTTGCTTCACTACCCTAATCTTTTAAGAGTGTCCAAAAGACATTTTAATAATAAATGAGGCCATAGACAAGTGTGAAGGCCTTTTGTGGAACACTACGGGATCTGGACATTATCCAGCAGTCATGAAAAGCTCTTGCTATGAATAAATACCAATGGGAATGATCTAGCAGGGAAGGACAGCTAAATCAGTCATTCATTTGTTCATGAGCATGAATTAATGAGAAATGATGGAGTGTTTATAGACAATTCTAAAATTCATGCTTGTGAAAGGGATCAAAGAGAGAAGACTGAAAAGGAATGTGGGCAAAGAAGGTATTGAAGACAACAGATACTTGAGATGTTTGAATGCTATTGGCTTAAGAGCTAAAATACACATTCATTCATTTCATCATTCTTTCAAAGAGTGAGAGATCACCACAGTAGCTATAACCTGAAGTGAAGGGGTTCAAGAATGGAAGTGGGGATGGCTGCAATAATCCAGGCTAAAGATGGTAGAGGAGTAAACAAAGGCAGTGAGAGGAGAGAGGAGACAAACTCAAAGAAGTTATTCAGGCTTTGGTTTCCTCTCATGAGACAACTGTCTGCCTACTGTGCCAAATTCTCTCCCAAGTCCCTTTCAATTCACCTTGAACTCCTTCAAGTCTTCCCACTTGACCTCTTCAGACCTGTGATGTCAGAAACCTTGATAACTGACTTTCCTATATCATTGGAGGAATGGACCTTCAGTTACCTTAACTGCAGAGACATGGTCTCGCAAATCATCAACTGTGGAACCAATATAAAAAAGCACTCTCCACATGGTAAGGTGTGTGAAAATACCAACACAGTAGTAGCAGCGTGACTGTGTTAACTTACTTAACACTTTATTTAAGCCTGCTGGAGGATAAGAAGTTGTCTGGACTGAGAAATTGTATATGGTGGACTAAGCTGCATTCAGCTGCATCCAGTTTTGCCCATTGCTTACCAGTAGCTCACACTGTAGGTATGCAGGCCAGTTTCACAGAAACTGCAAAACCAGCATACCTAAAGTCATATGTGTCGTTCTCTTGATGGGTTTAAGTATCTAGAAGATCTAGCAAATCACTGAACCCAAGGGCCAAAAAGGAATTGGGGAACTGAGCCACAGATGCTGTTAATGTTAGAAATTATGGACGTATATAGCTTGTTAAGCATTTGGGAGTACAATGATCTGAGACGAGGCCCCTCGTACTCACAACTCTATCTACACTTATTAAGAGAGCTTTTCCTCTGGAATTTGAAGTGTAATGATAAGAATCCAAGGTTCAGGGTTGTTGCTGTTAGGTGCTGTTGGATGAGCTGAGTACAACTCATAGCAACTCTATGAGAAACAGACCTGGATCCTGTGCCATCTTCATCATCTGATTCATTTGAGCCATTGCTGCAGTCACCATGTCAATTCACCTCATCGAGGGTTTTCCTTCGTTTGGCTGACCCTCAACCTTTCTAAGAAATAGCTTATTCTAGCATCATCCCCAAAATATGTGAGCCTAAGTCTTGTCATCCATGATCCAAGGAGTATTTTGGCTTCCCCTTACCAAAACAAATCTATTTGTTTATACACCATAGCTCAAAGGCATTAATTCTTCTGTCATTCTTGTTCCCTGTCCAGATCTCAGATACACAGCAAGGCCATGGCCTGAATCAAGGCAACCTGAGTCTTCAAACTGACATCATTGCTCTTCAGGATTTTGGAGAGGTTCCTGACAGCAAACTTGCCCAAAGCAATGTCACTTGGTCTCCTGACTGCCAGTACCAAGGGTGTTGATTGTAGATTCAAGCAAAATGAAATCATTAACAGTTTCAATCATTTCTTCATCTATCATGATGTTGCCCATTGGCCCAGAGGTAGAAATCTTTGTTTTCTTGATGTTGAGATATAATCCCAGAACACTTGACTGTGCGCCAATGAGATCTATACCTAGCTCAACAAGCTGTTGTCCAAAAGGAACAAAAGAACACTTTATAATTTAGAATCAGAAAAGGTGTGTCAGAATTGTGTCCTTTCAGCGAGCTCTGGTGGCCTAGTGGCAAGAAGCTGCATTGCAATCTCAGAAGTGCGCGATTCAAATCCACCAGATGCTATGATGAAGAAAGAGAAACAATCGCCTCCTGCACCAGTCAGATCCGATTAGACGGTACACACATATATAATAATAATAATTTTTTTAAAAAGAATTGTATCCTTTCTCCGTACTTATTCAATCTGTATGTTGAGCAAATAATTCATCAAGCTGGACTCTATGAAGAGGAAAGCGGCAAGATGGAAGACTCATCAACAACTTTTGTTATGTAGATAACACAAAATCTTGCTTGTTCAAAGTAAAGAGGACCTGAAATGCTTGCTGCAGAAGATCAAGGACTATAGCCTTCAATACAGATTATATCTCAACATCAAGAAAAGAAAGATCCAGGGTAGGATGACCTAAAGTCTACATCTTAATCAGCTGTGTCCTCTTTGGAAAATTTTACTCAGTCATCTTCAGTTTCCTTATCTGAAGAAGAGGGTCCAGGTGGTGTTCTAACTGTTACAGTCTCAGTCTCCGACTTCCCACTTCCTGCAGTCAGGGAATCCTAGTTATGAACCTAGAAATCCTAGTTAAGGAATTCCAGTTAAGCATCAGTTAGAAGTCTAGGAATTCTAGCTGAGGACCGGCCACTGCCGCTTCAATAGATGACCTTGAGAAAGCCAAGCTCTAACACTAGAAGACTTCTATTTCCCATTTCTGTAATGAGGACAGGACTCCCTGAGCTGCCTGCATCTCCAGGCTGCCATTAAGAGTTCACCTCAACATTTTGAAAACTTAAAACACAAAAGCAGAAAGACAAGCCTACCTCTGTTATGTATTAGCTAGTGTGATCTTAAGCAAGGGACACTGCTTTTCTAAACCTCAAATACATCACGTGAAGAGTGGGAAGGGTAAAAACAGTGCCCACTTCTCAGGGTACTACTGCGGAGGATCAAAGACCAGACCACCTTCCGGCGCAGGGAGCCGTTCCCCTGCCCTAGCCCCGCAAGCCGACCCCTGGCTCGCACCTGCGCAGTTGCTGGATCTTGTCGCGGTAGCGGTCGTAGAAGGGGTTGGCTTCAAGCTCGGCCTCGACCCCATTGCCGTCGGCGCCCCCAGCAGGCCGGCCCGGGCCGCGGCGCAGAGAGAACACGCGCAATTGGGCGGGCGAAACGAGCCCCAAACCCAGAGCACGGCTGCGCACGGTATACAGACCCCGGTAGAGGCCAGCCACTTGCAGGACGGCCGGACCTGCACCCCCAGTAGCCGCCGCCAGAGCCGCCATGGCAGCCCCCTCCTCCTCTTCTGGCGCGCCGGCCTCAGACCGCGACCCGCGCGCGCGCTCCATCGCCCTCCGGGTGCACTTGCGCTCCAACACCGAAGTTCCGCGCGGCCAGCGTTCCGGATAGGATTGGCGAAGTGAGGTGTGTAGGAAGCAAGTGGATTCGTTGCTTCAGCCCCAGCCCCGCGTGATCCCGGTTGCCGAAGCGCCCCACCGCCTGCCTCCTCCCGGGAGCCTGCCGGAATTCACGCCCTGCCGCTTGGGACCAGCAACCTCTGCGCGCCGGTTCTCTTGCTTTCTTTTAAATTGTGTTGGCTTTCACTATAGTGCAAGGCCCTTCATTAGTTGTATGTAGTCGCAACAGCATTTCTTAACTCTGCATTTCTCTGTGCAGCACCCTTTATCTACTCTGTCTCCTATGGGGCAGGTACTAACTTCATTGTACAGAAAAGCGTCGCTCTCAGACCATGCAATGAAGACCTGTTCGTTTCGGGGGCGGGGGATGGGGGGACGAGCGGAGGGAACAAACTAAGTCTGAGAGTTACTGACTAGTTAAAATTTTAGCAAAGTGTTGAACACTTTCAAGGTGCCAATTTCTTCCTAAGCCTTCTATCTGGAAACCTTGCATCTTCTCAGGCATCCGCCTTGAGCTTTAACCAAATGTTAGCTGCTGAGTAGACTCACTCTGATCTCATGCACAGTGGGACAAGACCACTATGATCCATAAGATTTTCATTTGCTAGTATTTGCAAGTGAATAACTGGGTTAATCATCCTTAGTCTGGAAGCTTCACTGAAATGAGTTCAGAATTAGGTGGTGGTTGTGCCTAAGGCACACTGGCTAGAAATTAAACCTGGGTCTCAGATGGAACGTGAGACTTACACAACAGAACTATTTTTCTTGATTTTTTTAAAAAGAATACTATTTTTTGTCATTCATACACATTTGTGTTCATTGTATTCCGTATAGTCCTTCATTTATATTTTGTTCCTTTATATTTTGAGGGTTTCCCCCCCTACCCTACAACAATCCCACCAACAGTTACTTTGATAAAAGCATGTAAGCCAGCTACTCACGCTTCATCCCCTAATATCTCTCTTTTAGATAGCCAATTGCTGATTTGCCCTTACTTAGCACCATGATAGATGGAGAAGAGATTGAGATTGTTAATAATTTCATTTGCTTTGCCCAACAGTCAACACTTTTGGCACCAGCTGTCAGGAAATCAAAAGATGAGTTAGGAAAATCTGCTGTCCAAGACCTCTCCAGAATGCTAAAGAGCAACAATGTCAGTCTGGAGACTAAGGTGCTCCTAATCCAGGCCATGTTCTTTGCAGTTGCTTGCTATGAATCAGCTGGAAAATGCCTTAGAGTTGTGGTGCTGGAGAAGCGTATACCATGGCCTGCCAAGAGAATAAACAGGTTTATCCTAAGGAGTGAAACTAAGTTGTTCCTTGGAGGAAAGGATTTTGACGTTCCATCTGAAAGACTTTGGGCATGACCCAGGAGAAGATGGATTGACACAATAACTAGGGTTATTAATATTAATATTAATATTAATATTAATAATGGGGTTATGTATGTCAGAGGTGGTGACATTGGCTCAGGCTAGGACAGAGCCATTATGCATAGTGTCGCTATGAATCCCAAGTGACTCGACAGCACAATACATTAAACCAATACTCTGAGTAAACAAGCACATCTCTTTCGCTAAAGGATCTTCTGTTCAACTTGGAAATTTTGAACACCTGCATCCATCAAAGCAAGCCATCAGGTTGCAGCAATCAACCCTAGTTCAAAGCATGGATCATTTTTTCATCTGGTTTGGCTCTGGCTAATCCATGCCCAGCTATCTGTGGCTAAGTTTAAATGGGCATCAGCTGCAAACTCAGACGTCCACATTCTCATTGTGCTCCAGAGTTGTTCATCACCTCACTCAGCTCTAGCCCCCACATGGGACCAAGTCAAGTCAACAGGCCAGGGGTCCTCATGAAGCCCTGTTCCTCAAGTCAACAACCCATCTCTGCTTATCCATGCATCTGTCCAAGCTCGGCCTGTTTCTCCTTTGTATTCCACTTCCACTCCTGTGGATCCAAGTGCTCACAATGAGTGAGCATCCTCTAACCGCAAGTCTCAGAGGTGGTGTCTGATTGATACCAACTTTACCCTGCCTTACAGCTAAACTCGTTTTACCCTTACCTACTTAATAGGAGGTCTTTGATACAACTTTATTCAAACTGCTTCTAAACTCTGGAATATTTTCTTCCTCACCTTCAACCCACATACTACCATCTTCTTCACCGTGTGAATCAAGAGTGAATTCCTGCAGTCAGGAAAAATGGCATCTCTGTCTCAACTGTTCCCAGCACAGAGTAAGGTCTGAAGTTGGCCTTCTTTAGTCAGTTTGCCTTATGTTGAAGGCCTGTCTGAATCTTGCTCTGTAGGCCTAACATTGTTGATTTCTCAAGGATATAAGGATGGATCCTGTTCAGTCCAACCTACAGATTCTTGCCTAGAGACTGCTCTGTGCTGGAAACAGTGTGGCAAATATTGATAAGATGTTTGAGCGAGCCAGCCTGTACCTGTCTGAGTCCCTGCATTCTGCATATGTATACCTGCATGTGGTTGCCTCTCATCCCTGAGAATTCAGTTCACATGCAGACCTCAGAAACCTTTCTTGATGCACCTTCATCCTTCTAAATTCTTTATTACATTATTGTTTTATTATCTTAAAAAATCACTATTTCCTTGTTTACATACAGACTTCCATCCCTTTCCCCTAAAAAAGGTGCTCCAACAGAATGTGGAAATTATTGAACCATATAATCAACATCACAAGCAAGTAAAATTTTGCCAAAGATTATGAAAAAATAGAGCAGTGTGTCCATTTTGGAACTAATTGCCAGTTCAGAAATTCAAGCCGACTTCAGAAGAGGCCATAGAACAAGGGATTTCACTGCTGATGTTAGATGGGTCCTTCACTGAAAGCAGAGAGTAACAGATGTTTACTTCTGTTTTATTGACTATGTAAAGCCATTTTATTGCATGGATCAAGTTAAATTATGGATAGCATTGAGAAGAATGGGGATTCCAGGACAATAATGTTCATGCAAAACCTGAAAATAGACCAAGAAGCATTCATTCAAACAGAACAAGAGGATACTGCATGGTTTAAAATCAGAAGGTTGTGTGTCAAAGTTGTGTCCCTTCTTCATACCTATTCAATCATTATACTGAAGAAATCATTTGAGAAGCTGGACTATATGAAGAAGATTGTTGCATCAGATTTGGAGGAAGAAGACTCAACCTATGATAGGCAGATGACATAACCTTGCTTGCAGAAGGTGATGATTTGAAGCACTTACTGAAGATCAGTGACTATAGGCTTCAGTATTACAGGATGACACCTCAACATCAAGTAAACAAAAATCCTCACAACTGGTCCAATAGGCAATATTTTGATAGAGAAAAGATTGAAGTTATCAAGAATTTCATCTTACTTGAATTTACAGTCAACTTTCATCATAGTAGCAAAAATAAATAAAGGGAAAAGATGTGTTGTATTGGGCAAACCTGCTGCCAGGGACCTTTTTAAAGTGCTAATGAGGAATGGTGTCAGTTTAAAGTGCACCTGTCCCAAGCCATTGTAGTATCAGTTGCTTCATATGCATGTGAAAGTTGGACAATGAATAAGGAGGACCGAACAAGACTTGATGCCTTTGAACTGTGGTGTTAGTAGAGTACTGAATATATTCAGGGACTGCTAAAGGAACAAATCTGTCTGGGAGGAAGTTCAGCCAAGGTGTTTCTTTAGAGGCAAGGACGATATAGCTTGGCCTCATGTACTTTGCCAGGTTTGTCAGGAGGGGCTAGCCCTGGGCAAAAGACAACATGTTTGGAAAATTAGAGGATCAGTGAAAGAGTGGGAGATCCTCAATGAGGTGGATTGACAGTGACTATAACAATAGGCTTGAGCATGTTGGAGATTGTCAGGATGGCTCAGGATAGGGCAAAGTCTCATCAGTTCATGTGCTGCTATGAGTCATATTCGACTTGAAGGTACCTAATAACAGTGATGTCCGTTTGAAGACTAAAGTGTGCCTGATTTAGGACCTGGTCTTTTCCGTCACTTGTTATGAATCTGAGAGCTGAACAATGATTTTGACAGAAGAATTAATGCCTTCGAGCTGTGGTGTTGAGGAGTACTGAATATCCCATGAAGTACAAGCAGATAGGTCTTGGAGAAAGTGCAGCCAGAGTGTTCCTTGGAGGCAAAGATGCCAAAACTTTGCCTCACATACTATGGGTATGCTGCTTGGAGAGGCTGTTTCTTGGAGAAGGACATGGTGCTTGGAAATGCAGAGGGTTGGCTAAAGAGAGGAAGACCCCAATAAGATGTATTGACATAGTAACTGCAGCAACAGGCTTAAGTGTGTCAGAGATTGTGAGAATGCACAATATAGAACAAGGTTCAGATCTGTTGTTCTTAGGGTCAGTATGGGTAGTAATTGACTTAAAAGCACCTTGACAGACATTCCATCTTTCCAAGCATCATGTTCCTAAGGATCAGCCTCTCCTAGCAACATACCCAAAGTATATGAGGAGAAACTTTATCATCTTTGCCTCCAAGGAGGACTTTAGCTGCACTTTCTCCAACACATATTTGTTTGTTCTTTTGATAGTCCATGGGATCTTTAGTATTCATCTTCTTCACCACAGCTCAAAGACCTCAGTTCTTCTGTCACCCTTATTCACTGTCCAGTTTTCAGATGCATAGCAAGTGATTGGAATGATTACAGCCTGAATCAGACACACCTTAGTCCTCAAACTGACATCATTACTCTTTAATAATTTAGAGAGGTCCCTGATGGCAGACTTTCCTAGTGTAGTTGTTGTTAGGTACTGTCAAGTTGAGTACGACTCATAGTAATCCTATGAAAGACAGATCAGAACCTTGTCCTATCCTATGCTATCCTCACACTTCCTGAAATAACAGCCCACTGCAGCAGTAAATGTGTCAATCCACCTGGTCAAGGGTCTTCCTCTCCTTTGCTGACCCCCTACCTTTCTGAGCATCATGTCCCTCTCCAA